TGATATACAGCCGTATCTATAGTTTCGCTTTGTCACAAAATATCCTTGATGAAAACCAATTTGGCTTCCGCAAGTCCCATTCTACTAGCCATGCTGTTAACTACTCTGTTAGGATTATTGAAGAGAGCATAAAAAAACGAAACCATGTTCTAGGAATATTTATAGATTTGAGTAAAGCATTTGATACAATCGATCATAGTACACTCCTAACAAAACTAGATAGGTATGGAATAAGAGGCAATGCAAACTGTCTCATTAAAAGCTACTTATCAAATAGAACACAGTACACAGAAGTCCTCAATGAAAAATCCGAAAACCTCATCATTAAATATGGAGTTCCACAAGGCTCTGTTTTGGGACCGCTCCTTTTTCTTCTATACATAAATGATATTTCCAATTCCTCAGATTTAGGAACTTTCATACTATTTGCCGACGACACCAACATTTTTATTAATGGCAAAACTGTAGAAGAAGCTTATGAGAAAGGCAACAAATTGCTAAGCTGTATAAAAAAGTATATGATCCTTAACAAACTACACATCAACAAGTCAAAGTGCTGTTATATGCATTTTAAACCAAAGGCTAGTAACCCAGTAGAATTTCCAGATTCGCTTCAACTCCATATTGATGGCTTTCCGATTAAAAAAACCAAAGCAACAAAGTTTCTTGGAGTTGTTATTGATGAACAGCTTTCCTGGGGGCCTCATATAACAGCACTTAAACGAAAGTTAAACTATGCCTCTGCCACCTTAAATAGAATTAGGGACTCTGTACCGAAGGAACTCCATAAAGACCTATACCACACACTATTTGAATCCCACCTTACATATTGTATCTCAGTTTGGGGTGATGCAGCACTCTTTAGGACAGCAAGTATCTGGTTGTCTCAGAAGCACTGCGTACGGGTCCTCTTTGGTGATAAAGAGGCATACCTAAACAAGTTCCTAACATGTGCAAGAACAAGAGAGTTTGACAGCCAGGCACTTGACCATACATTCTTCCAACTAGAGCACTGTAAACCACTTTTCAAGCAACAAAACATCCTGGCTTTCAAAAATTTATATACATATCACACTTTTATGGAAGTTTTTAAAATACTGAAATTAAGATGCCCAGCATCACTGCAACAGCATTATCAGCCATCTTCTAGAAAGGAAACCACTCTCATTTCACAACTCCCATCTAATGACTTCATATCAAGATCCACAAAAATCTGGAGCACAATTGCACCTAAACTTAAGCTTTTTGACTACTCCTACAAGATTAGCCTTGCTAAAAGTCGCCTGAAAAGGGCACTTCTAAAGCTGCAACATGCTTATAATGATTCAGCATGGACTTCAAGCGATTATGACATAATGCAGCTGTCATTTGAAAACAATCCCCTTCAACAAATGTAATCCAGTGTTCTCACTTCTCGGCCCACAGGTTCCTCCTATTAAAAAATTTTTGATTTTGGTAAATGTGTGCTGACTCCACCACCGATGTATTTAACCTAATATTTAGTGTATTACAGGTAGACATTGACTTAGGTAAGTATTTTTCTCTTAAGGTAGATATTAAGAATTTGGTAAATTTCTTAATTGTATGACTATTTCCATTATTGAGACGTTTTAAATATTTGATTTAAGAGGTTTTTTTTATAGGACTGGTTCACAGTGTGAACAGATTCCAGATTTATATATTTTTTAAGTGATATTTAATAAATGATTAAAAGAACCAATTTTAAAGTTGCCATAGTAAAGCCTTTAGGTCCAAAAATATACCCATTATGCTCACGTAAAAACAACTCTAAATCAGTAGGCTGTCACTCTATTAATGCACCACACCGCTTCCTCCACTGCACTAAAAGTTATACAATAAATTCTACAATCCTAATTTTGTATCGTGATGGAGACCGGTGTCCATACAAAAATTTTACTAGGTTGCCGTTTGGTGTGAGCAATAGCGAACAGCACGAACACTCCTTTGCCCCGTCAACCCATATCTAATCTATTTAAAGAGTGACAACCATACTACACATTGAATTAGGATTCCTTTAAATATCAAATTGATTTATTGTAAACTTGTTTACTCTGTAATAAATGGCATAAAATTGATTTTTTGTTTAACTGAATTTTTGTTTAACTGAAGTGCAAGAATGCTAGTTTGCGCGGCGCGTCGAAGCGGCGAAGTCCTCCAAGGTTATTACTTGACAGATGTTACTCGTCTAAATTTCTTCGAAGTAGCGCGCGCCGCTTTCTTCTCGAAATGCCCGACGGCAAGTGTTACGAAGTAGCGCGCGCCGGGCCAGACCATTAACAATGGTCAAGGTTATTACCCACAGCTTCCTGCTTTGTAACGAATCGATCAAAGCGTGTATCTCTAAGGCAAATCGTATTATCTGTTGGATTGTAAGGAATTTAGTTATTAGAGAAAATGTTGTCATGATTGCGATATATAAAGCTTTAATAAGATAAGACCTCATTTTGAGTATTTTGTCCAATTGTGGAATCCGCCTGCGGCTCATGGAAGTTGGGGGACTGTTTTGGAGCTGGAGAGCGTCCAGAGGCGGTTTACCCATTTGATTGATGAGGTGGGTACTCTACCTTACAGCCGTAAACTGGAAATCCTCAATTTGACAACGCTGGCAGAGCGGCGAATACGCGGGGACCTCATAGAAGCTTTTAAAGGAATAAGTGGTTTGACCGATTAAAGAGGATTAAACAGGATTAAACATAAATTTGTCAATGAGAGCCCTAACACTCACGTCTTGACTATACATCAATATAATAGAAATACATAAATAAATAATGTGCAAGAGTGTTCTTAAAATAAAAATTTAAAAATTATAAAAATTTAACTTCGTCACATCTTTGTTGAAAGAGAAACAAGTGCAAATAAAATAATTTAATTCTCATGAACATGTTCCGAAATGATATGATATGGTGATCGTGATATGAAATGAAATGAAGCTCGACTTGACCGTCGCGTATCTGCAGAGGAGTTCTGTTGAGGTGTATGGATCGGGGATGTTAAATGTTAGCAGATCCGGTCTTAATCTTGTTTCAAGCAACAGATGTAGTAGAAGTTTAACTAAAATCAAGAATATCCAGAAGTAATTGCCCCCGGAGCGTGTTATTCCATATTGGAACAAAATCCCTCCTGACCTCAAGAACTCTGTGACAGTTTAAGGCTTTAAAATTAAGTTAGAAGGATTCAAGAAAGATATGATTTCTAAAAGTATTACAAATGATTGCTATTTTTGGAATGTATCTAATGAAGTTTTAGTAAGAATTGAGGGAGCCAGTTATGTCAGTAAGCGGAGCGTGTTATTCCATATTGGAACAAAATCCCTCCTGACCTCAAAAACTCTGTGACAGTTTAAGGCTTTAAAATTAAGTTAGAAGGATTCAAGAAAGATATGATTTCTAAAAGTATTACAAATGATTGCTATTTTTGGAATGTATCTAATGAAGTTTTAGTAAGAATTGAGGGAGCCAGTTATGTCAGTAATAAAGAAGAACTTAACGTGATTATCTGTGGTTTCATCCCTATGTGGCGAAGAAACGTTTTATAAATCTTTATTCCACTGGGAAGTTTGATTTGGTTTTCAAAATGGGATAATGTTATTAGATACATTTTTTAATTTAATAATTAATGTTGGTGGGGAAATATTAATTTTATATTTTTTCACATAATGCGATGATATTTTGTAGACATGTGTGATAATGTTATGTCATAAATTTTACTTTACTTTACTTTAGTTTTACTTTACTTTAAAAGGGTAATTATTACACGTTACAGCGAATGATTTTTAAAGTAATAAATTGTCAACTGTAAGATGTGGCAAGAATTATCCTGTCAAGCAACAAAACACTTAAAGGGAGCTATTTTTAATCAGGAAGAAAACTAAACAGAAGACAGGACACAAAGCAAAAAAGTGAATGCCGAAATAACCGAATAATGATTTATCAGTTATCACTCTACACTTGACTGTACTGTAACTTTTTAAAACGTTCTCTAGGTGGCCCTGAATGACTCTTCGAAACCCTAACCCTTTAATCTGATCCCAACCCTAACCCTACCCCAATCCTTAGTTACCTGGGGACCCCAGGCTATAATGTTCATATAAATAAAGATTCGGCGGAATGACAGGCTGAGCGCAAAAACTGTCATCAGTGAAAACTGTCATCAGTGAAAACTGTCATCAGTGGCATTTAACCTATACAGATACATTTTTTGGATGTTAGCAGAAATCAAACTAAGGCCCATGTATTACTTCTTGGGACCCCTCGCTCAGCAGTCACTAGTCAGCAATACCAACAAATAATCCTGACTGGTCTGATTTCATATGCTGCTTATTCCATTGTCAGACTCAGAGTATTATGCTGGGTTACAGGAGGAATAAAGAGATGAATAAAAACTATTAGCTATAAGCTAGTGACACTTGACAGTTTATTGAGATTTATTATAAAGATTTATTGTAAGTTAATTGTCTGTTGTAAATGTACTAATCTTTTGTTGTCCATCGAAAGGCATGTGATGTGAGGCTACTATTTCACTCCAGAACTTGCAAGGTAGATACCACAGGCCACATTTTATGTACATAGTGCACTACCGGAAACTGGACCTTAGCTTTGTCAGCCTATTTCATTGTCTTAGTGTTAACTAAAGACATCCTCTCCCTTAAGCTTATTCTATGTTAAACATGTCTAACATTGTGAATTATCCCATCATTGCACTAGTTTAGCACTAATCTAGTTTCATTGAACTCAACAAGATTTATCTCCTATAATAATCAAAACCTCACAGCTCATAAAATCTAGTTAATTTTCTCTGTTCTCGGTCCCTCCTAAGGTGTCTACCCTGGTGTAGTGTTTTATAAATTATAGTGATGACAATTTGTATCCAATTTCTTAATATAAATATGTTTTCTTTAAAGTGACACTGTGGACCTTAGTAATGCCCTTTTAGGTTTGTTGCTATAATATGATGTTTAATTCAAATTTCTTCTAAGCAAGAAATGTCAAGTAAAGCAAGTGGAGTTTCTGCTCAATTATAGTCCTGTGTAGACTGTAGAAGTGACTCAGAATTATTTATATGGAATGGTGCCCCTCTCATAGCTTGAAATTGCTGTTGATTTCATTGCTTTTCTATACAGCAGAGGTATGTAAAATCCTTAAGCACATTCATCTGCTTTGAAATCTCACAACCTTCCATTGATATTATATCATTTAAATCAAATCCTTGGACTTTTTAAATTACTTAAATTAATGAACTAATTGATGTTATATTTTTGTTATTTTATTATATTTCAGAGCAAGAAAGTAGCTGTTTGTCTTCAGCTTGGTTCAAGCTACAGTGACGCAAAGAATTTAGCTCTTGATAATGGTTACGCAGTGACAAAACAGGTACATAAAATTATTCTGATTAAACGTTTGGTCTTAAATTAGGTTTAAAAATTCAGTCATTGCAGCATTTATCTTTATATTAAATGTAAGCTTGTTGTATTGATATTATATTAAAGTCTTAATGAGTTAGACTAATAAACTTACTGTTCCTGTAACAAATCAGTTAACAAATTAATCCACATCATAATCTAATAATGTTGGATTAAATATAGGGATACATGGGGATACATAGCTCTCAACATTTTTAATTACTCTTACTAATTAGTTTTCAAATTAAAATTGAAGTCAAAGTTACTCTACTTTAAACTGTGATATGATTCTGCAGGTTGGAAGGAACTGCTTTCTGTTCGAGAAGACAGGTCGTAGTACGCGCGATGTTGAGACAGAAGAACATTTGGTGGAGAGCAGTTTGAGCTTAAACCCATTGGTAAGTTCACATCTTGACTACATTAGGTTGAATTATTATGGTGAACATAATATACAGGGTGGCCCAGAAGTAACTACCCACACACAACCCTTTAATAACTCACGTAATTCGTATCAGAATTACTTACAAATTTCAGAGAATATAGATCTGGATCAAACTTAAATTTTCTGAAAATTTTGGTTCCGCCTCATTATGCGGTACCAAGCATTATGGGGGATGACGATCTGATCACTTTAAGTGAATACTGATTGTGAATCTCCTTACAATCAAAGAAATTTTCGTTATAGCGCTTCGGTTACTGTCAAATGAGCAGGTTCCAACCAATCAGGCCATTGATTGAGTGAAGAAAATAGAAATCACAGATTAAGTGTCGGGATCATGTATCCGCCAGATCTTAAATTGGTCAAAACTCGGTTTAGTTGTAAACAACCAACTTGAACTTTTGGGAACGCACTTTAATTATCAAACCAAATGTGTCTGGAAATTTTGGAGTTCCTTACTCAAAGCGTTCTCACTTTATGGTGACAATAAAGAAAAAGAGGGAGTGGCGTGTCACACCCTCTGTAATGGTAATCGATGAAATTTTACGAAATTTTCAGGAAATCTAAGTTTGACCCATATCTATATCCTTTGAAATTTTTAAGCAATTCTGATACGAATTACGTGAGTTGCGTGTGGGTAGTTGCTTCTGACCCACCCTGTATCTGGGGAAACAATTAATTGTCAGATATAAATATGGAAGGTCTAGCAAAAACCACTCTGCCAATGTGAAAAATCACAAACCTTTTTCAACTTCAATGTTTTGTCAAAATTAGGTATGATACATTATATTAATGTTTTTGGTTGTATCAAAGTGATTTATGCACCACTGGTCATATTGGATTTAATATTCAAAAATAAGATGTATGCATCATAAGATATGTTAACTTATACTTATTAACTTACAATTCTCTTACAATACTTACTGTATTACAATACTAACTGTACGATTCTCTAAATATCAATTATGTTTGCTGAAGATATTGGATAATACACGTCTTAGACGTGTGACACGTCTATTATCTCGTTGAAACTAAATAAACTGTGAATTTGTCATTTAACGTTTTAACATCTTATTTCTCGGAATCTGCCATATTATCACTTTATCAGCGCAATTTGTGAGGTAAAAACACCCAGTAAGCTCCCTAATAGCCCTTTATTATTTATTATTTGTCACGACTTTTTTTCTTTGTATATCTTAATAGATTGTTTCCTCCAATTTAAATTCTGGGAATATTCCACTGCTCCGATTAATTGGGCTTCACAATTAGCTAACTCATTATCACACAATTAGCTAACGTCAATACCGGAACAATTTAACAGGTATAAGTGTTATTGCTAGGCGTTAACCGGCTTAACTGCACTGTTTATGGAAAAATGCAACCCGTGCGTCTGATATATATGGGAAATTTCCAAGTTTTATTTATAGCCTGCGCTGGTATTTTTAATGGGAACACCGACTAAATTAAATATGGTTGATTATGTTATATTTCTGATTTTGTTCAGGTTTAAGCGTGTTTTATACCTGACACCATCACAAGAAAGTTTACACAAGCCTTATGTTGTGTGTTTCCCTTCGTGTCCAAAAGCATTACAGTTTACCACTTACTACAAATTTCGGAATTATAGAACTGAAGCATATTACTTTAGCACATATATTACGTAATTTTCAGCCGAGATAATTCTAAATTTACTGTTTCCGCTGAAGCCAAATTGGCTGTCGCTCAAAACTTGCATTTAGCCGATTCAGTAATCAAAACATGAGCCGTGTAACTCTTGCAATGATATATCTAAACCACTTAAACAGAGTTTGATACGTGTGGCTACTGTATGGTTATTAAGGGTTTATATAAATATTGTTATCTTCCACCACTTCCCACGGGATTATGAGGAGTTACTGTAATGATACATATCAAGATGCGCTGATAAGGTGAAATGTTACGGGTAGTTCAATACCACGGGTTCTGCCAAATAAGTGGTATATGTTCGGTTAACTAGTTTCAGCGATTCAACCATCAAATTCAGATTTTACAGCGAAACTTAAATCTCCGGATCAGTTAAATTCCATTAAAAACTACAACTTTTCTAGAGACTAACAAAATTCTGCATTTTACTCTGAATGCCAAATTACAGAACTGTTCCGGTAATAATTGGGATTTATCAGGTCGAGGGTTGTTACACTTGTACCTGAAATGTTGGCCATTACACACACATTACTTGCAAGCCGTCTAAGTAGAAAGTATACAAGTCTATCTGGTGTAGTACAATACAAGTGTAGTACCTGGTACGGTATGAGTGATATTTATTACCTGTTAATATAGCAAACCCTCGTTAGTTACCTTGTGTAGTACAATACAAGTGTAGTACCTGGTACGGTATGAGTAATATTTATTACCTGTTAATATAGCAAACCCTCGTTAGTTACCTTGTGTAGTACAATACAAGTGTAGTACCTGGTACGGTATGAGTAATATTTATTACCTGTTAATATAACAAACCCTCGTTAGTTACCTTGTGTAGTACAATACAAGTGTAGTACCTGGTACGGTATGAGTAATATTTATTACCTGTTAATATAGCAAACCCTCGTTAGTTACCTTGTGTAGTACAATACAAGTGTAGTACCAGGTACAGTATGAGTAATATTTATTACCTGTTAATATAGCAAACCTTCGTTAGTTACCTTGTGTAGTACAATACAAGTGTAGTACCTGGTACGGTATGAGTAATATTTATTACCTGTTAATATAAAAAACCCTCGTTAGTTACCTTGTGTAGTACAATACAAGTGTAGTACCTGGTACGGTATGAGTAATATTTATTACCTGTTAATATAGCAAACCCTCGTTACTTACCTTGTCTAGTACAATACAAGTGTAGTACCTGGTACGGTATGAGTAATATTTATTACCTGTTAATATAGCAAACCCTCGTTAGTTACCTTGTGTAGTACAATACAAGTGTAGTACCTGGTACGGTATGAGTAATATTTATTACCTGTTAATATAGCAAACCCTCGTTAGTTACCTTGTGTAGTACAATACAAGTGTAGTACCTGGTACGGTATGAGTAATATTTATTACCTGTTAATATAACAAACCCTCGTTAGCAGGGACAAAAGGATTTCGCGGTTATTTTGGCCAAAAATCGCGGCACCGCGACAAGCCAAACTAGGCTAATTCGCGGCTAATTCGCGGCGGGAATTTCAAAAATCGCGCCATATTCGCGGCAAAAAATCGAAAAATCGCGGCGAATTCGCGGCAAAAAATAATGTATTTACAGTGCTTAGTTAGAGTTCACATATTCTTTGACTATTCTATTTGATCGGCTCATGTCCCATGAGGATGTGATCTCATCATATGATCTGATACAGGCTGATGGGGGTCCATAACAACAAGAGCTGCCATAACTTTTGACATGATCTCAAATGTTGCAATGTCATACGTACTGTATGACATATCTCGTTATCGATACTATATAACTTTCAACAGACGACAGGAGACATCATCATGAACGACCATCTACACTTCACAACTATAGCAATGGAATACTACGAACTTTTCAACCCAATTCCCATATCCCTACCTAGTCTATCCCCATCTAGTATCCAACCTCTACCCCTTGAAGCTTACATCAACCTGGACGACATCCTTACCCCGGCCCCCTGCACGAACCTTTTAGAAGTTCTAACCACATCCCGAGGGAAGCCCATGATTGTTCCTTATGTGGTCTACGACGAGATTACATGCTCTACAAAATAGCTTCCCATTGTCAGCATAAAACGATGATTTGCCAAATTCAGCCACTCTCGTGGAAGCTGTTACATTGCCCTGTTTAGCCTGTTTCGAGCGTTTGCTAGACGAAGGTCCAGCCGGTTTGTCGGCAGGCCGTTTGACAAAGCGGTCCATGCATTATAACAAGCGAATACAATACCAAGCGAATAACTATGACGAAATATCTGACAAGTGACGATTCAATAACAACACTGATATAACATACTGTTCGATTTCTTAATCCATTGTATGTCTTCTGGTCAACTTTATGTCGTTTGGTCAAGTTTTTTATGTCTACTGGTCAACTTTATGTCGTCTGGTCAACTTTATGTCGTCTGGTCAAGTTTTATATGTCGTTTGGTCAACTTTATGTCGTCTGGTCAAGTTTTATATGTCTACTGGTCAACTTTATGTCGTCTGGTCAAGTTTTATATGTCTACTGGTCAACTTCGATATAAGATCTCGGAAGGCAGACCTCCCCTTGGCCTTCGCAATACGAGCTCGGAAGCGGCAGCTCCGCCTTCAGAGGTACGTATCGAGAATGACTCGGACAGAAAATTTTCTAAGTCAAAATTTTTCAAAGTTTTTCTGGAAACTACTTTTGTTCATGTTTCATGCTACCCTGATCATTATGAGCCGAAAATATTTTTTCGGTTTTCAAAGGTCACACATACCCTTCGATACACGATTTTGGACTCGATTTTGGACCTTGTAATGCGATCTCGGAAGGCAGGCCTCCCCTTCGCAATACGAGCTCGGAAGCGGAAGCTCCGCCTTCAGAGGTACGTATCGAGAATGACTCGGACAGAAAATTTTCTAAGTCAACATTTTTCAAAGTTTTTCTGGAAACTAGTTTTGTTCATGTTTCATGCTACCCTGATCATTATGAGCCGAAAATATTTTTTTCGGTTTTCAAAGGTCACATACGCTTCGATACACGATTTTGGACTCGAGGGCTCCCCTTGTAATGCGATCTCGGAAGGCAGGCCTTCCCTTCGCAATACGAGCTCGGAAGCTCCGGAAGCTCGGAAGCTCCGCCTTAAGACTAAGAGGTACGTATCGAGAATGTACCTACAATCGGAACTCACGGAAGGCTGTAAATGTGATTAGTTTCATATTATACTTAATACTTGTAGAAAACGTGACATTTGGCCCGCAGATTTTATGGAAATACGCAAACTTGGTCCT